AGGAAGGTTGGGCAATCCTACTTCCGTAGTGATACTGCCTCGGAAACCCAAGGAGGGGTTGCTATGAGTCGGGTTTGACTCGACGGCACATAACAACATAACAACAACAACATCTCATATAATATGATACTAGCCCAAAAGGAGTGATTATAATTGGCAATAATATTCAGAAGGAAGAAATATCAACTTTCTTCTACATAGACATATCTGTGCTATGCAAAAGTATATTTTGTTTGGAATAAATGAAATTGGAATGTTTTCCTCTGCAAGCCAGGAGAAGTCAGTTCATAAAAACTTGCAAGTATGGTTGTTTCAGTCAGGTGTAGAATAACCATTAACTATGACTTTATATTCAGAATTCCATTTGCCTCACGAGGCATTAGAACTGGTAAGGTAGATATTCATAACAACTATATTGTTATTAACATTTCTCAATGAAATGTTATATGAAAAGTTAGTTTTATAGAAGTAAATCCCAATGAAAGAGAGCACTTTGTGTTCACCTCATGCACAGTGGTCTGGTGAGTATCTGAAGTTTTTTCTTTTTAAAATCTTTGACATTTATTGCCACCATGAAATGCCTCCAGAAGAGCTGTAGCTGTGGCTCCCCCTTTTTTGGGGAATCAGATTATAATTATTCCTGACAGGAAAGCACCTCTTTTTACTCTTTCTAAGTTTTTCACCAGCAGAATATTTACCCTTCCTAGAAGTCTACTCCATTTCTTGTCCCTTCTCCTCCTTCTGCTTTTTCTTCCTTTGCCTCTCATCCTGTTTTCCTTCCTCCCTCTCATTCATTCAATAAATATTTATGTGCTGAACACTGCCATGGGAATAGCAAGCAATGAATATTTCTATCCTGGAAGAATTTATGGTTTCATGGATTCTTGATCCCCAAAAACCAAACCCTCTGCTGCTGAGTCAATTCTGACTCACAGTGAACCTATAGGACAGAGTAGAACTGCCCTAGAGGGTTTCCAAGGCTGTAAATCTTTATAGAAGCAGACTGCCACATCTTTCTCCCACAGAGCGGCTGGTGGGTGCAAAGAGCTGATCTTTCGGTTAGCAGTCAGGCTCTCAACTACTGCACCACTAAGGCTCCTTCTTTTTCTTCTTCTTCTTTTGTTTTTTAATTGCTATTTGGGTGAAAGTTCACAGAGCAAATTCACTTTCCATGCAGCAGCTCACATATGCTTTGTCTCATGACATTGACTACAATTTCCTACAATGCAACAGCTCCCCTACCGCTTCCTTCCCATAGTTACATCTTCCCTGTGTCCTCCCCTCCATGCACTCCTGCCCCCTGAGCTTCTCCCTGTTACACACAGCCCTTCTATTCTCCCATGATTGTTCTCTCCAAGGAATGTATCTGTTGTTGTTGTTGTTTTGTGCCATTGAGACGGACCCGACTCATAGTGACCCCTCCTTGGGTTTCCGAGGCAGAATCACTACAGAAGTAGATTGCCCCGTCTTCCTTCTGAGGAGTGGCTGATGGGTTTGAACCACCAGCCTTCTGGTTAGCAGTCAAGTGCCTTAGGCACTATGCTACCAGAGCTCCCTATGTAAATGTTCAGCTCATATACTTGTCTTTTAGTTGGCTGGAAGCCACAGGAGTGGGTTCAATTCCAGACCTGAAGGGCAGCTAGGGTCCATAGTCTCAGTGGTTCCATCAGGCTCTATCAGACCAGCAAACCTAGTCTGATAATGATTTTGAGTTTTGTTCCACATTGTTCTCCCTCTCTATCCAGCATCTCCTATCCGAGTGGTTGACAGTGGTAGTTGGGCACCATCTAGTTTTCTGGTGTCATAATCATATAGGCTGAGGATCACATGGTGTTCCAGTTGCTTGGACTAATTGTTTCCATGCATCATTGGTTTTCTTCATTCTTATTTGCTCTGGATGAAGAGAGATCCATCATTGCATGTAGATGGCCACTTGCAAGCTTTTATGATCCCAGTCACTACTTGCCAAAGTAGGACATGGAACAATGTTTTGTGTAGTAATTTATGCCAGTTGAGTTTGATGTTCCCTGTGACTATGGTCCTGAAGTCAAAGATCCAACTACTCGCTCCCTCTGGGTAGCTAGCTGGCTGTGGCCAAGAAGTGAGTACAACCTTGTCCCTTGTCAGCCCTCCTATACACTTGGGAATTCTTACAGAACATACCAATAAACTTGTAGAAACACTGACTGCTAACCCTATACATGGTCATGGATACACTCCCCCCTGCATAGACATACCTAATAGTTCAGCCTGTCCACCCATC